TTAATCTGGGAAAACTTTGCTTTTTCTAGAGGTAAATTTAATTGGGCCCATATGCCTGAGTGCCTGAGGAGATAGACCCCTTTGCTACAGCTTACTTCTGTGGTTTGTAGGAATAGCCATACATAGGAGCTTGCTGTTTCACAGTTACATAGACATAGAAAGTGGTGCAGAGGACCTGGGATTACACGTTCTGCGTGTAGAGAGAGCACAGAAGCCCACTTTACACTGGTGAGTTTCAAGAGTGGTTCCCTAGATGCAGCGGGCTTGATCCTTGAATCGCCCGTGTGTCCTTTGGAACGGGCAAAGAAGTTAATGAGGTTTCTCAGGAAGAGAGGGGCCATGAGGACATCACAGAATGAGTTCTTCCGGCCACATTTGGAGGAATTCGTGGAGTCCATTCACCTCTACCTCAGCCAGGCTGAGTATGTGCCATCAAGTGTCAATGTTTGGACCAGAAAGTTTGAACACTGGCAGCTGTTGAAGATGGCTTCAAAAGGGCCTTAGGACAATCAGGAGATTCCGTCAGATAAGTCAGGGGACCCGGCACCTGAGCAGAGGCCAGAGAGAAGTGACTGTAAAGGTGACAGCGAGCTTTGGAGGCGGGAAGCACAGTCCACACCGCACCGGGATGTCTGCAAGGGCAAGTGGAAGCCGGGCAGCCTTGGCTGAGGTGCCAGGACTCGCATCCAGTAGCAGGCGAGTTCATTATGAAACGGACCCTGGGAATCTCTGTGGGCTTCTATGCATGAGAGAGACTAAAACAGGGAAGTGCTTAAGGTGCCAGGGGATACTTTAACTGCGATGGTAAAACCTGACTCTCTGCTCCTAGTTAGCATGGGCAGCGAGAGGATTTTAGACAAAGAGGGAGAAAGCAGTCATAGCTCCCGGGGCTCCTTACAGGGCCCGTGCCATGTTTTACAGTCTTGGTGAGTTTTAGCAGTTGTTTTAATAACAATGATGGAAATGTGGTGTGCTCTCTCCCTTGGAACAGTTGGCCACTGAAAAAGGTCGCGACTAATACAAAAAGCGAGTTTTACTGCTTAACTGTGGATTTAATTAATTTATGTTCTTCCTGTTTCCATTGCCATGTGTGTTCCGAGTTGTCTGGATGACCAGGCAGAGTTTCCTTACAAGAGTCTGTGTGAGGAAGGAGTTCTGTGAAGGCTTCCTCACTCTAAAAATACTGAATAGTAAAAGAGCTAGGACACACGAGAAGGAAAGTGACCTGTTAGGCCGGTGTTTTTCAGCTTCCTAATGCCGGGAGGGTTTCATACAGTTCCTCATGCTGTGGTGACCCCCAGCCAGAAAGTTATTTTTGTTGCTACTTCATAACTGGAATTTTGTTACTATTGTAAACATCTGTCTTTCCCAGGTTGAGAACTGATGCATTAGGCTCATTTTATATTATTTTAGACATAAAGAACATAGATCTCTTCATGGTGGTTTAAACTGAGGTTTCCCAATCTTTGAATATTTGACCTTTGGCGTGGTTAATTCTGTGTTGTGTCCTGTGAGTGTTAGGCTGTCTCTGAGGTAGGTCTGTGTTCATAAGACATCTGTAGCTCTTCCCATTCCTGGTTGTGACAGTTAGCAGTTCTGTCCTAATGGTGCCGGACTTGCACTGGGCAGGGCTGGTGAAGGCAGAGGTTTAAATGTATCTGATCAAGAAACTATCCTTTGTGCGGCTGCAGTCCCCATGTTCTTATTCCAAAGCTTGTGATATCTCAAAACTTTCTCAGTGTCTGCAGAAAACCAATGGGCACTTACAAATTTCCTTCTAGACAATCCTTACCAGTGTATTTGAAGGAAGAAAAGCTGCTTTATTGATTTCTGAGTGTTCCACCTCATCCCCGCATTCTTCTATCGGCTTCTCTCTTTCATTTAGGGACTATATCAATTGCATTTAATTCTATGAGACGGGCATTTACTTTTTCCTTTTCTGGGCAATTAATTTCTCAGTGCAGAATACTATAAGAAGTTTAGACCTGGCTGTGGAAAACATGGCTTTCCCCTGGAATCTGGATTCTAGTTTGTTTCACACTCAATTCCCTCTTTTTTGAAGTGTGACTTTAGATTTTCGGTATGAATTCTCTCATTTGAGAGATGAAAGAGATAAACTGTGTTAACTGTAAGTTTGCCTTTAGTTCTAGATATCAGAACTTTAGCAAATTTTATTGTTTCTTCAGTTTGTTTCCTACACTCGTGACATATTCTCCACTAAGACTCAGAACGTGGCCTGCCGGCCCCTGTGGTCCACAGACAGCAATGCTGCCCTACAGACCCATAAGCGTAGTCAACAATCGGAAACGCTGGCTGTAATTCAACAGGGAGGCCATGCCTTTTACATGTAGTAATTTTTAAAAAAAAACCCAGATATTGTGCAATCTTTAAAATGTAATTTTTCTAATAAGTCATTTTTATTGTATTTTATAAAAGTATTCTTCTGAATTGGAGACAAAAACAAAGTGTTCTTTCACTAGAGATAGCAGAGGAGGCCTTCGTGGGAATGGGAGAGGGCTTTTTCTTGGCCTTTCTATTCTGTCCAATAGGAGGCAATGTGGTTTGGCTCATGAGGCTTTAGATTGGGTGGAAGGCAAGAGAATATCTGACTACTCTTTCACCAGCACAAATTTTATGGCAGACAGAATGGGTTAAAGAAATTTCCCCAAGAGAAGATCAATTATCTCTGGATAATTTTGAGGTTCTCTTGGAGTTTCCACACAGCTCATTGGTGTTTTGTTCTAAGAAAACATGTTTATCTAAGAACTGGACTTCCAAAGAGCAGTAAGAATACATTATCTTTAATAATCACATTGCCAAGAACCTCTTGCCTGTGATGGTCTCATGCCAGTGAGCCGAAGACTCCGTAGCCGGCTGACGGTAGCGAGAGAAGCAAAAGGTATCAGCTGTATTTGCTGCGGAGAGTTTTACACGTGTTTTGAGCCTATCAATCATCCAGCTTGATCCATCATGCAGAGACATCTAGCGTGTGGACCCAGGCAGTGTAGACTGACTTGTTAACAGAGAAGTAAAACAATGACCCTCACAACCTGACCTTGGTCTGATTTTCTAATGTTATTGCCCAGTTTTTCTTTGCGTGTTCAAAAACAGTGGAGAAGCCAGGCTCCCCACAGAGCTGTCTGAAGCCAAAGACACTGTTGTGTTCCCTGCACGGTGGACATCTTGTTCTGATGCCTCCGTCCCGTTCAGAGCAGAATTACTCAGTAAGCCTTATGCTCCTCCTGGGAGCTCTCTGCACATGGCCTGGCATTGTTAGGGGGTCGCCTAGCCTGCACTTCCTCCCAAGCCTCTGTGACCTTTCTGCTAGGTTTCCTCCCTCCACGTGGAAAGGCAAGATCACTGCTTGCCCTATTAGCAGCAAAAAATTAAAAAAAAAATTATCCTGTCTTTACAGTTTTTAATCCAGAGGATGAAAATAAGTAACACACCCCGAAACCCCACTGTACTGGCCCACTTGGCAGGAGTTTTGTATTTGCTTGGATTTAGTATGAATGGGATTTGGTTCTCTGATTTCCCTGCTTCCATTACTTGGAACAAGTTATTTATTATCCAAACAAGCCCGTGTTAGTCTATCAGACGGGCACATGGCATGTCGCTCATAAGTGCATTTGCTCAGCGAGATTTATGCTCTCCCGAATCGTTCTATATTGCTTTTCATTGTTGAAAATGTACTGTATTCATCCTTGGTTTGGCATAAGTATTTGCAGTGTGCTAAAGGTTTTTGTGGTTGAACACTTTATCTCTGTAACACTTCAAGCAAAGGAAATTAAAAAATATATAGTGAAAGCGTTTCCCAGATATGTTTCCAATCAGCGGTGCACTTCAGTCTTCGGATGTGTAGGCACAGCGCGGAGAGTTACTAAGCCCTCTCAGGCAGTCCTAGTGCCTGGAAATTCAGATCAGGATTCCGAGTTTATGAAAACATCTGCCGAGAGTCCCATAAGCCCCTTCTTCTTCTCTTATTATGAATTAAGAACACTTCGCCACGGTGCGATTTGAAAGAACTCCCGGAAGAAGCAAGTCCTTTCTGTTTTTGAACAAGATGGACTGACAGAACTGAGCTCGAGCAGGTAACCGGAAGTTCTCCGCTGTGGCTGAGGGGCCACCCTTTTCTTTTGTAACAATCTCATCACGTCGCATGTTCTCCGTTTTATATATTTTGGTGAATCCTTCTGTTTGGTGGGCTTCTGGGGAGACAGTGACAGTAGATGCATCCAGGTGCATCTCGACAGAGTACATGCCAAGCACAGAGGATACTATTGGTAAACTTGAGTCCACGTTGAATGAATTATGTTCTTCGGTTACTTCTTTGGCTTTTGTCCCAGGGACTGAAGTCAAACTGCTTGTTCTCCTTCTGAGGATCTCTAGCCTCTAACTTCTGTTTTTGCCAATGAATTAGTACGAATTTTGTTTTTCCTATTAACTCAGCATGTAATAACCCATGCATTAGTAATTTCAGATTTGTTTAAATTTATTACCTAAGAGTAAAACAAAACTGAAATAGGAAGGCATAGCTCTTTGAGGTGGGAATGAAGCCTTGAAGGTTTGCTTTAGTGATGGCCATAGTTACTAGAATTTTGTAATCAGTCTCTATATTTTAATTTATATTTCCCACTATGTTTTATACTTCGGTCTTAACTTCAGTAATTCTGAATTCTTAAACTCTCACTCAAAATCCCCTTTCACTGTGGTATTTTTAGATATGGTGTTCTCATATTTGATTAAACAGAAATAAAACAATAATTTTATATATTTTTGCCAAGAGAGTTGCATATGGTTTTCTATCTGAAAATATAGTCTGTGAGGTTAATGAATTCGGTAGTGAAAGATTTAATGTGATTGTGTGCCAAGCAGATATATGTGTGCTGTAGGAAAGAAGTCATTGCCAGGGAGCTAGCCTTGGCTTACACGATATACACACTTCTGTTCCAGAGAGAGAGGAAGCACACTCACCCCCGGCCTCTTCTCTTCCTGTCTAGGTTGTACCCATGAAGGAAGAACGTACAACAGTTCCTTCAGATGGCAAAGCCCGGGTGAGCCGTGCGTCCTGCGGCAGTGCCAGGTAAAACCCAGCTTCTCTCCTCCTCAGCCACCACGGTCAGACAATATCAGCGAGCAGAGAGGGACGGGGACGACTCTGTCCATCTGTTGTCATCGTCCAGCATGGGACAGGTGCAGGGTGGTACTGAATAGGACTTGTCTCTAGAAACACACAGCAGGACTGTCCACCAATGTTACACTGAGGCTGGAAAGCTCCAGGAGGATGCTCGTGTCTTCCTGTGAAGTCATCTGTAAGCAGACCATGGACTCCTATTAGCCGAAAAGAGGCACTTTTATATGAGATACATTGTCCTTCTTTGAGCAATAAAATTTTGAGCTGGAACCACATTGTGAATGGAATTCAAGTGAAGTAATTCACACACTGTAGCTTAGTGAATTCAGCCTGACCAGTTTAAGAACCACGGGGAAAGCAGGTATGGACTCCACCGTTGTTGATATTTATTTAATTCCCGGGTGAGTAGCTGCTCCATGTGTCTCTCACATTAGACCCGGTCAGATGAGCCAAAGGGCAACGAAGAGGCAAAATTCTTGAACTCTTTTCCTGACTGTATAGAAATACTGTATCAGAATTAACAGTCAGGGGCTGGTGGTGTCGCTCAGAGGGAGATGGGGTTTGTGCTTTCTGTGCAAGTCTGTGACCTGAATCCTCAGAACTCACAGTAAGACAGAAGGAGAGAACAGACTCCAAAGCTGACCTCTGGCCTCCACATTTACACAGAGCATGAATGTACACCACACACACACACACACACACACACACACACACACACACACACATACACACACACACAGTAAATTAAAAAAAATAGAACAATTGTGGAATATTTTTTTCTTGAAGCCCCTCTCACTCTTTGGAGTTCTTCCTCACTTTTCCTTAATAAATTTATGTTTCTTCTGCTCAAAAAAGTAATGTCCATTTAATTTTAAGTAACTTCAAAGTTTTTTTATGGAGAAGATGTTGTTAAGTTATTTTATTCCTCTTGGTATATGTGTTTGTAGTCAGAGGAGGGACTGAAAGGCGAACATAATACTGGATGTTTGGCTTGGATATTCTCTCAGGGATCTTGACAGTTTGCTTCTGAAATCTAAATTCTAGAAAGCCATGCATGGCTTTATTATACTGTAGATTTTAGTGTACAGTAGGCAGTCTTGGTCATTAGACTTATTTGTGTATTTTTTGGCTTGTTTGTGTAGTAAGCTATATGTGGAATAAACAGTAGCTAAAATCAATAAACACTAAGTATACTTTTGACTGTAAACTCAATTAGACTCAGGTCACAGAGACACAAGAGCAATGAGTTTTAATGACAGTAACAAAGTCCATATCCTTGTCAACATTGTCAGCTCCGCCCTGCCCCTTCTTCAGTGAACATTCCTGTCTCTTCTGGGATGTTCTGGAAGTCTTGGTTACAACGTTTGTTAAACAAGCTAATCATGCCTTGTGAGGAGTCCTGAACAACACTGTGCACATCAGTCCTGAGGTCTTTAAATCCTCAGGTAGCTTAGATGAGAGTCAATGCTGCTGTCTTGAATGATTGAAGATTAAAATAAATGGAACCTGATGGAGGAAGGTCATTGGCTAATAAAGAATCTGTTTGGCCCTGATGGGTTAGAACATAGGTGGGTGGAGTAAACAGACCAGAATGCTGGGAGGAAGAGGAAGTGAGCTCAGATGCCAGGCCACTGCTCTCTGTGCAATCAGGAAGTGAGTCTAGTCACCTGAAGCGGTGCAGGAAGTAAGAGAGAGCGAGAAGGGAAGTGGCCGCTTTTTAAAAGGGAGAGATACCACGCCCCGATGGGCTGGTATCTCAGCGGCTATTGGCTGGAGGATCGGAAGGACCTCCCTCAACAGGAAGCCTCTATACAGGGGCATTTCCTTTCCTGAAGAGTGAGCTCTACTGACTATCCTCCTGCCTTTGGGTGGAGCCTGGAGAGGATGGGTGAGGTATCCATAGTTACTGGAAATGAAAACATGCCCCAGTGTAGAACGCTGCAGAAGATTTGGGAGGGGCTGTTCCCCTCCAAAGATGAATCTCACCTTCTATGCTTTCTCTTCACGGGGGGCCCCATGATGTCCTTTCACTCAATAGGCCGGAAAGCACACCTCCGGGATGTGCTGGCAGCAGGTATCTTCCTGCTCCTGCCTCCCACTCCCTTCCTGAGGGAAGGAGACCTCATAGAAGGATGCAGGCAAGGGCCTTTCAGGCACTTGCTAGGCATGTCCTGTTGCTATGAAGTAAGCAAAATTCTAGTCTCTCTCCAGGGCACAGAATCATAACAGAGGATTCAGTGTGCTCTCCACACCTCTGAAAAAAAAAAAAAAGAAAAAAGGACAGAGATATTTGGGAGGTGGTGAGCAGAGAAAGAGAGTCTCATTATAATGCTTCTAGCAGATGCCAGCATGCTGTAGGTACAACTAGGTACTGGACAGGAGACAGCAAGTCTAATGATCTTGTCTGTTTCCATTTGCGTAGAATTCGACGTATTTCTTATATTCTGTGCCAAAGGAGTTCTAATGATGAATATTTTACATTTTTTGCCCACTTCTAATTTCTAACTTGAAGAGAAGAATCTGGAGGTTACATATGCTGGGAATTACCCTGAGGTCTCCTTGTAGACAGTAGCTACTGAAGGAAAATTGACTATAGTCCATAGCATTGCTTCAGTTATAGTGCTAAAGAATACATTTTAAAAATGTCTGTCGCTGCTATTTGGGGATCCCTCCACCCAAATGTGATAAATGATGTAATTCTCCTAGGAGCACCACCCTCAAGCCTAGCATGACATGAGACATTTAGTATATTTCCCTTGTTAAGTTGGATGCTAGGAGGCAGACACATGGACGAAAATGGCTTTGTTGTGAGATTAGGACAGCTGCCTTCAGCCCCTGCTACTCTCGATTCAAACTCAAATCAAACCAATAAGAATACGAATTTATTTAGAAAAAGTGGGTGGAGAATACAGAGGGAGCTCACCAAAGACTGACCATGAAAATTTTCTGGAAACTTGTCTGTGATCCCAGCGCTCAGGAGGTAGAAGAAGGATCAGAAGCTCAAGGCTTCGAGACCTGCATGGGATTCTTGAGAACCCATTTCAAAAAAGAATCATATAGTCCAAATCCAAAAGCTTAAATAGCCATTTAGATATCACAGTCCCAAGATCAGGTTGTTAAAGACTCTCTTGAGTTCATCATTTGAACCTACACTATCTGTTTTGACATACCTATGGTGAACTTAGAAATAATTTTCTGGCATCTTTGCATTTACTGCTGAAGGAAACTGAGTTCCAGGTTCTACTGGAAGCCAAGTGGCACTTGTAAGATTGTAGAGCTGGCAACTGTTTTTCTAGAAGGTGGTAAGGATTTTTCTGGACTTGTGCTTTTTCTGGACACAGGTCTAGGCATTCTGATTTTCCTTTGTGTCTGCAGCTCATGGCTGGTAGCATAGTAACAGTGTTAGAAAAGGCAATCGTTACGGATGACTTAAACAATTATGAATGCCCAACCAGGATGCCAGAGGCCCACTGCCAGCATAGAGGTCATCCTACACAGATTTACAGGAAGAAAGCGCAGGATCAAAGCCCAAGTACAAGGATGTGGCCAATAACAGGCGATAGGACATGCCTAGTGAGGCCCAGAGCATCTTTCCAGTGAGCTGGGTCTTGCCTCGTTTGTATCTCCGTCTTTGAGGTCCAACAGCCAATCCAGCACTGTGGGGCTTTGGATTCATCCCACTTTTTCCCCAAAGGAGTAACTCAAATGGTAATTCTGGGGTGACTTGTGACATTCTGTTTTCCAGGAGGGTGTTGTCACAGAGTCTGAGGTGCGCTGTGCTGTTTATTGTAAAAATCCCTCAGAGCATCCGGGAGCCTGCTGCCCTACCTGTCCAGGTAATGTTCAATAAAGGGAAGCCGATGGGTTCTGTGGTGCAGCACAGCTCTGTGGAGGTTGCTGTGTCCTGTCAATGACACATTGTTCCCCTCCCCTCCCCACACTGACCTTCACTTTACATCTGCGCACCCGAGCTCGGAGAGGAAGCTCCTTCGGTTGGCAGTATCCGTCGGGCTCTTGTGTGCCCAGCATGAGTGGAACTATGTGCTGTAGATCTTGGCTTGCGGAATCTCCAAGCTCAGAGGCCTGCTTTCCATTCAGGGCCACAGGTAGTGCTTACTTTGGAAGGACGGTCTATGGCTCTACTTGTGTTCAGAATGTTTTTTTACTGTTTCCTACTGCAATACCTCGGCCAGAGCGTGTCACGATGATGAGGTGACCAGATGTTTTCTGAAAACTGAGTGCTGTGTCCCACATGACTTTAGTTTGGAGTTTTGTTGGTTTCAGTTTTCAATGTGGTTTAACAAGTTGGACCCTCTGTCCTTCTGGAGAGGGCCCTTCTGCTGAGCTGACAGCGGAGGAACCCTTTCCTGCTGGCGGTGGGAGGGCTCCCGTGTCTTCTCTTGCTCTCTCATGAGAGCCTGGGGATTTTGAGGTGAGAGATGTTTTTCCTGATCTCTTAAGCCTGTGGCCAATAGTCTCAGACAGGTGTTTTGTGTTTTCTCTCAGCCCTTCTCCTCTCTAGTGTCGATTCTCACAACTACTAGTCTTTGCTTTGTGGGGTACTGTGCAAAGGCCTGGCTTTTCTTCGGACCTTCCTCTGAGACAGCAGAAGTCCCATGTGGGATGCTCTGCAGACATGGTCTCAGGCTCGCTTCCTCTATGTGTTAGTCCCACGGAAACCCCACAGGCAGTTTCCCTCTCTCCTAGTTTTCCTCGTGCCCTGAGAGGCCTTTATTCAGCTCTAGTTTACTCCAGGGTTTCTGTGAAACTGATATTTTCTCAGTTTACGCAGGTGGAAAGACTGGTTAGAAGTGAACCAATTCCATAAGCCAATTGCTTTGTATCGATCAGGGGTTTGTTTGAATGCTCTCTCTCTGAATAGCTAGGTGATTTGAACAGCAGTAACATGTCCTTTGATACCTCCGGGTAAGTCTAATGGTCAGTTCTTAAGACCGTACATGGAAATTTAATGCCTAGGCTGCATCCTGGCAAATTTTATTTGAATCTTCAAGGCAGTGGTAGTGTTGGGCTGGTGGTTGGGCCCAAGTAATTTCTATATATAGCCAAATTTAAGACTGATAACAGGACAATTATTTTTTCTATCTAGATTAAACTTTATAATAATGTCTAGATTATTAGATAGTTCTATTGAGTAGAAAGTTGATTTATCAATGCAGACTTAATTCAGGGTCCCCCCTCTTAATCTCAGGAGTGCTCAAGGAGCAATATTATGTTGGGGTAATATAAAGGGATCCTTAGACTGTATATAAATCACACCCTGCCATTGGGTGATAGCTCTGTTTTTAGGTTGTCTTTGAAACATAAGTATGCAGTTTGTAGGGTTGAAGTTTTTCTCTTTGACCACTTGTTTTTGTCTTTGTGCTTTGGGTTCAGTCCCCAGGAAGAAGAAAGTTGAGCTCCATTCTTGTACACATTGCAGGGTAAAGTGCTAAGAAGAAATCGGACCCATTGATATGAGGGGCTTAGTAACCAATGGCCACGGATGGGGCTGCAACCAGATTCCTTCTCTTCCCTCACCCTCAAATCACGCTGCCTACCCCATCGATACCCAGAGGAGTATTCTATGTAGGTTCTGGTGCTCTGGAAAGCAAATATTTAAAAATGATCATGCCCCAGTGTCACACATGTCCCCTGACAACTGCACAAGCATGGGACCCTGGGGATGCAATTAGCTGTCAGCTTTGATCCCTCTCCTGAATTCCTGCGACCACGTTTGGGATGCGAGTTGGAAGATTCGGAAGCAGTGATGGCCAGAATGTCTCATCCTTTGTCTTGGAGGGAAGCCTCGGCGAGTCTAGATAGGGAGAGTCAAGGACAGCCTTGGGGGTTCACCCTCGTCATGCAGAAGGACTGGCATCTGCCATTGATCAGACTGGCATTCTCTATAATGACAAACATGCGGGCAGTTTCCTCCTGCAATGAGTTTCAGGGCATTCTTGGTTGTCTGCTCCTTCATTGTAGTCTGAGTCCTGCTCAAGGATGGTGGGTGTGCTAGAAATAGAATTATTTTAAATTCTGTTGTTTAAGTTGTCAAATATAGATTGTTGTGGAAAGCCATATGACAGAGTCGGAGGCATAAACATGGGAAAGGATTGAAGACACTTTGCTGGGAATGTCCTTTGGAAATAGACTATTAAGCGCCTGTCATTATGAATGGTGCTAAGACACAGTCACTGGCAAGGCCATACAAGCTACCAAGACTTTTCAAAACCATCCAGAACAGCAAGGAGACATCTGATTGCTAGCAATGGGTATAGCTATAAAAAGAGATCGTATCCCTGGGCCATCATGTGAATTTGCCTTTTCTTGGCCTTTGTATTTTGCATTCAGCTCTTATCTTCATACCTTTCTATTGAGTGAAGAGTCACACTTAGCTTGAAGACGGATAGGGCCAGGAGCCAGCTCAGCCATTGCAATGTTCATTTCCCTTCATCGGGAGCCAGGTCCTACAAGCGTTTGATGATTTCTTTTGACATTGTCTTGGGAACTTCTCTGTCCTTCACAAAAGTCTACCCATACGTAGTTCTGCTTCCAACACTGGCTACTATGAGGAAAGTCCTGAAGGAAGTGGTTATGCCATTTGCTGACAGGCCTGTGGTTGGCGTGACCCAGCTGCTTGCTAGCCTGTGTCTCTTGGTCATTTAGTGTAAGTACTACCCTGAGCATCTTTCTGAAGGGAAACATCTCCCACAGGTTTGGACCTTTATGAGCTACACTTGGCAGGAGGTATACAGCCCATTAACACATGGAGTGGATCAGAAAACCATAGGGTACATCCTGTCTTGTCCCCGCCCATTATTGCCTTTGTGCATGACCCTCTGTAAGGGCACCATGTGTGTCAAAACCGAGTTCATATTACAACTCAGTCACCTACCGTGGTTTCGTCTCCTGTGGGAAGACAGTCAGAGTCTCTCTTTTGCAGTACCAGAAGGTGGTGTGGGAACCAAGGGCACGCTGGGCCAAGAATAGGGTGTAACTCCTGGTACTCTAGTGGCCTCCCACAGAGGCATCTGCTCTTTCTCATCCCCACCATCCCTCCCTCAGCCTTCCTTTGGCCTCTTCTGACCTCTCTGAGTTCGTCACCCTGGCTGTGGTCAGCACGACCCTGCATGACTCACTGTGCTGCATCTGCCAGCCATGGGCTGACTCAAGTTCCACTGTCATTTGTTTCCTATCAGCTTCAGGGTTTCTGGGCCTGTGAGAACGTGCCAGTCACTTGAACTGTATCATTTCCCCTTTTCATTGTGCATACTGTTGTGATCAAAGGGTATCTATACTCGGTAGAGGCACAGCTGGGAGGCGGTGATAGAAGGTGGAAGGCTCATGCCAAGCTGAATGAAGACTGTTGTCCTAATTGCAAATTTCCTACTTTCCAGGCTGTGTGTTTGAAGGTGTGCAGTACCAAGAAGGAGAAGAATTCCAGCCAGAAGGAAGCAAATGTATCAAGTGCTCCTGTGTTGTAAGTACTGCGAAGCACTGCTCAGATGGTCCTTAGGGTTGACCGCTTCGTGCCTTTACTAAGAGCAGAGCTATCTTCTACATTCTCCTCATTAGAATCTCACGATGCAGAGCCCAGGGAGAACCCACTCCACGTGAGGCAAGCTTCTCAACTCTGGTGATGTTCACCTTCTGGGCTAGGGTTCTATGCGATGGACCCGTTTGCATGCATTCATTGCAGAATGTTCAACAGTATCCCTGGGCTTGCTCTAATAGATCCACAGTCATATAATCATCGCTGTCTGCATACCTTGTTCAGTTATACTCTGGAGAGCAAACTGACCTCTCATTAAGATCCACTGTCCCCTCAAACAGGGGACTCCCTCCACCCCATTTGGGGAAGACCATGGGTCTTCTGTTTCATGAAGCAGAGGGGCTTCTGGCCGTGGGAGCTTTAACTTCAGAGCAGTCAAAGTGGGAAGTGGATGAGAACAAACAGTCTCTGTGTGTTCTGTGGGGTGAGGGAAGGTTGGTCACCTGGGGTTGCAAGGAACTGATGGGAGGAGATTGCTCAAAAATAACCCTAGAAATTAGGGAGACAACCATAGACCCATCTTTTCAAGCATGCTTAAGAATGAGGAAGAGTTTGGCCTGTGTTCTGATTTTAAAGGGAATTTTTATTTTATTTATTTATTTATTTATTTATTTATTTATTTATTTATTTTTGATTTTTGAGACAGGGTTTCTCTATAGCTTTTTTGGTTCCTGTCCTAGAACTAGCTCTTGTAGACCAGGCTGGCCTCGAACTCACAGAGATCCGTCTGCCTCTGCCTCCCGAGTGCTGGGATTAAAGGCTTGCGCCACCACCGCCCGGCTCAAAGGGAATTTTTAAATTAATATATTTTATATCAGAAGTAAAACCAGTGGTGATGATGGTGATGGGGAGTCTGGTGTTCAGCTGTTGCTCCAGGCGATTTACAGTAGGAGTTAGTACAGCATCTACTGTTAGGAATACAGATAGTGCTGCAGCGTATACTGTTAGGAATACAGTTAGTGCTACAGTGTATACTGTTAGGAATACAGTTAGTGCTACAATGTCTACTGTTAGGAATACAGTTAGTGCTATGGTTACTGCTACGGTGTATACTGTTAGGAATACAGTTAGTGCTACAGTGTATACTGTTAGGAATACAGTTAGTAGTATAGCGTATAATGTGAGAACATGCATCTCATGAGTCACCGGTGACACAGATGCATTTAGTATATTAAGAAGAAATACACAAGGAGCACTACCTTCTGAATCTTACTAAAGCAGAGGCATGTGGTGTTCCAGCAGTCACAGCTCTCCATACGTCTTTTCTACTGCAGCACAAGCCCATTCAACCTCGAGTCAAGACCAGAGTAAACATGTCCAGGCTCACGTGATGGTGTTTGTATAGAGGGCAAGGAAAGGAAGGAAGAGAGGCAGGGAGCAAGGGAAGATGAGGAATATATATGCATATATCTATATATAAAACAACATAGGATTCATGCCATATATTACAAACACAGTAGAAACTTCCTAATGGAAACAAACACGAGCCTGTATATTCCACACATCTTTATTTTCTCTCTTACTATGAGCCAATAGCTTTATCCTATTTTTTTACATTAGTGATTTCTACCTTTTTGTTAAAAATTTGTCTTTTTCTAGATTTTTTCCTTCCATATTTCCGTATTGTAACATGTAATATTTTCTGTTCCTTTTTTCCCCTAATGTCAATCTTTTGGGAGTAGGTGGAGGAAAAACAAGGCAGATTTCAATAGGAAATTGTAAATGTCTGTATCAGCAAATTGTTTTTCTACAAAAGGTGTGCCAAAATCAGACAGTCAACCCTCCAAGGGGAAGAACCTTGGCAGGTGCCAAGAAAGATGAGAAACCTCTGTAGTTTTGCCAACGATGTCAGTCAGAAGTTTCCAGAATTGGGACTGGAAATCAGTTTATGTGTACTGGGATCACAGACTTAATATACCGAGGCATGTGGATTTCATGTGTTTTTAAATTCACTGTGTGCAGAATGAAACACACCAAAGGCCAAGTTCAGGCCCTGGAAGTCCTGTTTTCATTTCCAGTTGAGAAAAGTAGAAATCTAAAGATGTTTGTCCAAGTTTTCTTGCTTAGTTGCTTCTCCACAGACCTGTAACGTCTGTCCCTTCCTGCACGTTAATCCAGCTTCCTGTGTGCCTGTAATGGTAGCTTCCTTCTGATTCTCCTGGTTGCTGTCCTCATCACTTGAAGTGCAGCTACTGGCTTTGGTTATGTTGCTCATTGCTAGTCTTTACCAGTGATTCTTAACCTGTGGGTTGTGACCTTTTGGGGTCACAGGTAAGATATCCTACCTATCAGGTTATTTACATTACAATTCATAACAGTAACAAAGTTACAGTTATGAAGTAGCAGCGAAACGAGTTCATGGTTGGGGGGTCACCACAACTTGAGTAACCGTATTGAAGGGTTACAGCATCAGGAAGATTGAGAAACACTTCTTTAGATTACTAGAATAAAGGGCAGGGTGTGTTGTCCCCTAGCATACAAGGGAGTTCAGAGCAGTTATGAATACAAAAGTTTGAGGTATAAACTTTTGCTTAGTAGCTCATTGTAAAAATGGTCTGCATTTAAATGTTCTTTCATTTTGCTATCTTTTTGATGTAGTTTGTTTTTAAAGAATGAAAGAGAAAGTGATGTCTGGGCAGCTGATGTCTGGGTACGGGGGCTCTGGGGATGCTTGCTTGAGATTGTCCCAAACCTGTGGTCTCACTCTGTTGCTTACCAGGGTCATCCTGTTGAAGTAGGAGCGGCGGCAGGGCTGCGTCCCTTGCACCCAGCCACCCGCATGGCTAGCTTATGCCCGAAATAATTACACGGAAACTGAATTCTATTAAACACTGCCTGGCCCGTTATCTGTAGCCTCTTATTGGCTAGCTCTTACATATTGTTCTAACCCATTTCTAATATTCTGTGTAGCCCACGAGCTGGCTTACAAGGGAGGATCTTAACCTGCGTCTGTCTGGAGCGGGAGAATCATGGCGACTCCTGACTCAGCTTCTTTTTCCCAGCATTCTCTCCTGTCTACTCCGCCTACCTAATTTTCTGTCCTATGAGGGCCGAGGCAGTTTCTTTATTATAATTAATCAATGTCCTTCCTCCATCATCATCCAGCAGCTGGTCTGGGAAATTTGATGTGTAAAGCGGGAGGTAACCTCTTTCCGAATGACCTGGAAGATTTTCACCAGTACCACTGGGAGACAGAATGCTTGTCTGAGAAGGTTCTATGGATAGCAGACGGGGAAGGTTCCACCAATTAGCTGGGCTAGGGTACGTGGAGGGGCATTCGGAGCATTGGTCTTTAGACTTCCCCTACAGAGCAGGACCAGGTGCTTTAACAAAAAGCCAAGAGCTAGTGTTGCATATATAGTAACGCAAGTATACTTGTGTATTCATATGTGTAAATGGTATTGTTTTTCTCTCAGAATCTATTGGAGATTGATTTCAGATCTCCTGTGAATATAGAAATCAGATGACGTTTAAGTCCTTTATGTAGATTTGTGAAATTTCACAGTAATCACATGTAATATATGCACATCCTTCTGTTCACTCAAGGTAATCATTAGATTACTTAGAAGACCTAAAAATGTAAATGATGTGTAAATTTTATCATATTCTAATCGTCTAAATAATTATTTTACTCTTGTATTTGGGGAATAATGACAAAAATCATTTGATATGGTCGGTATAGACAGCTTCCCAAATCTCCTTGCCTCTGTGAGTGGTTCTATCCATAGCTGTATAATCCACGGGTGAGGAGAGTCAACTGTATTCATGCGGATATATATTTGTGTGCACATAGCCTGTTTGTTTATATACGCATACAGACATACAGACAGGACTATACAAATCTCTGTGCAAACCTATATAAGCAGTACCATAAACACTAATGTGAAAACATGCTTGCATATCTAAATTTGGATTTCTCTAGAAACAGATCCTGAGGCAAAGAACTTTATGTAGGTAGTTTATGAGTTTATATGGGAGATTAGATAAGGAGGGGTGGCATACAGTTGCGGGTGCACTGCCAAGTGCCAGGACCCGAGCACTGCTCCCCGCTTCCTGAATCATGTGGCTAAAACTAATTTCCATTGTGGTAGTGTTGACAAGTTGATACTTGAGGAGTTCATTGGGCCATGAAAATCTGCTATTATGGGTGGATTTCTAAGTGCTCAGGCTCAGGAGAGAGGAGTTTGACCTCTCTTACCCTTTGCCCTCTTGTGCTATGTGAGTACCGAGAATTTCTCCATTTATAGGTACTGTCTTGGGAGCAGAGAACAGCTCTCACAAGCCAAATTGGAAGCCTTATTTTATATTTTCATCCTTAAGAACTGTGAAAACTTAGTTTCTGTTCTTTATAGATTATCCAACATATGGAATTTTGTTAGAGGAACATAGATGAACCAGGACCTCAATGAACCGCCGTTGTAGGTCTTGGCTTCTTAACTACTCTTGAAGCCTGCATAGATTTTGTGCCTCAGACTTTTTTTCCTTGAGGGCTGGAGGCTGGGATGTACTTATGTAAGCTCCTACCAGCCACTGTCTGAGAGCTGTCTCTGGAAGGGTATCAGTTAGCTGGTTTTCCAGCTGCCACTCAGATGGGAAGGGGCTCCTCAGCAGAAGAGGAAGAAGGTGTTGCAGATGTTACAGGTGTTGATTTAGGTGACTGGTTGTGAACTCAGGTGACAAGTTTGAGCAGATGAAGACATGGAGGCACCCAGAGTTATCAAGATCAGAGATGGATGTGCATATGCATGACCCATATGCTCGTCAACACGCACATGCTAGCTTGCTTATGGCTCTGCATGTGGTGCGCATATGGTTCTACACATACCTATACATACATGTATGTTTAGAACACTGGGCCATCCCTTCATTCTCCTTCATGTCTCCAGTTCCTTGCCCATCTGCTGTCTTTGTCTATGATTTGAGAGGGT